GTGGTATTGACTGTGTACATTACTGTGGTGTTGACTGTGTACACTTGTGCTGTGGTGTTGACTGTGTACACTTGTGCTGTGGTATTGACTGTGTACATTACTGTGGTGTTGACTGTGTACACTACTGTGGTGTTGACTGTGTACATTACTGTGGTGTTGACTGTGTACATTACTGTGGTGTTGACTGTGTACACTACTGTGGTGTTGACTGTGTACACTACTGTGGTGTTGACTGTGTACATTACTGTGGTGTTGACTGTGTGCATTACTCTGGGGTTGAGTGTGTACACCTGTGCTGTGTACAACCCAAGTGTTCTCTGGGAACTTGAGTGATCCATAATACTGCCAGTGTGGCCAGCAGTTAGAGTGTTCACGGGTGTTCTGTGAGGTGGCACTGAGCCTTGCAGGAGGCTCCACCTCTGTCACCTCGTACCGGCGCCCTGGCAACAAGGGACCAGATTCACGAACCAGTTACTCGAACACTTACGAATCTGTACATCTTTTCTCAATCTTTGGCAGCTTTGTTTACAATTATTAAACAATTAATGAGCTCCGAAGCACCAGGAGGCTGTTTATAACAATAACAACAGTTGATTGACAAGTTTTCATGCTTGTAAACTGTTTAATAAATGTAACCAAAGCCGTCAAAGATTGAGGGAAGGTGTTCACGTTCGTAAGTGCCCGCGTAACTGCTTCGTGAATCTGGCTCAAGTACTGCTGGAATGTTCTCCATAGTTCTTAATCTTGACACGTCTCATTACAGTAATGTGTATTAGTCAGTAAGTGTATTGTATAATCTTATTATTAGCAACGGTTCCTAGTCGTCAGCACTTCCTTAAGTACTGCCCCTGCGGCCCGTCCTCTTAAGGTAGCCCAACGTCAAGAAACTGTTGTACTAAAGTGCCGTTATCCTAACCTGCCAGAGGACCTAAAACAGAAAACGGTGGTGTTGCGTGCAGTTACAATCGGTGCAGAAAACCATAGCTCTAACAACCAGTATAAGTTATGCCAGAACCTGTCCAGCCATCACATATATCAGAGGCGGCGGCGGTATAAGATGATCACAATTTGGAAAGGTTTTATAATTCATAAAATTTTAACCAGTTTTTTCGCAGAACAAAAATATAATGTATTTCAAAAGGCCTTTTGACATTTTCACACATTCGGGGATGGAACCCGACACAGTTTAATATAATTTTTTCAAAATCTTCTAAAACTGTTTTAGAATTTGATATGGAGTTGTCATGTTTTCCATCAGTCCTGTGGTCAGGCGTAGACACCTTAAGGAAAACAACTGCCACACCATCTGTGTCTCTTTTGTACGCATCAATCTGATAAAAAATGTATTTTAATTTGAGAAATGTAATATATAGAGACTACACTCATACTAATTGACAAAATATAAACATTAAGCTTGCAAGTCACGTAGCCTAATGCGATATACCAATACACTGGTAATCTGAGGCTTCCCAGATCTCAAACCACTAACATCTGTAATATTTTCTTCCCTACAGATATTGTTTGCGCTGAGTTTGTGTTCTAATATACCTGATGTTGTTATTTTTTATTTTTGGTACCTATACTTTGATTTCCAACTTGAGCCCCAAGTTCATACTTGAGTATGAGTGAAGGCCGCGAGGTCCTGCTCCCTGTCTCAGGGCCCTCCTTGAGGGAGGCTTACCCCAGCTGGCATGATGGGGGGAGGAGAGGGATGAGATGGGGCAGTGGGGTGGGCTGTGGGATGGGCTGTGGGATGGATTGTGGGATGGGCTGTGGGATGGGCTGTGGGGTGGGCTGTGGGATGGGCTGTGGGATGAGTTATTAGATGGGCTGTAGGATGGGCTGTGGGATGAGTTATAGGATGGGCTGTAGGATGAGTTATAGGATGGGCTGTGGGATGAGTTATAGGATGGGCTGTGGGATGAGTTATAGGATGGGCTGTGGGATGGGCTGTGGGATGAGTTATAGGATGGGCTGTGGGATGGGCTGTGGGATGAGTTATAGGATGGGCTGTGGGGTGGGTGAGACAGGAGATGGGAGGGTAAGCACCATCGTACTCTGGCTTTGTCTTCTACACGCCATGTGCTTCAAATGCGCGGCATATTAAAGCGTTTCAATGGTCAAGTCTATCTTAAATTTCATCCTAAATTTCTTTCCTAAATGTCATCCTAGATAACGCAGCGCCCATAGAAGGCAAAGGGGAGTGGGGGGGGGGAGGAGTTTACAAATCTCCCACCCTTTATGTTGCAGCATATTCATGTGTTGCAGAAGGTATACTGGTCTAGTAGCAACATGATTGTTGACCGAGTCTGTATAGTCTCACTGGAGACTATAGACTCCCTTAAATATACCACGAACTATCATTATCATCTGTATTTCTGAGTTTCCAAATGGTAATTCAACAAGTCCTCCTACAACCTGTGTCTCCTACAATCTGTCCTCCTACAAGCTGTCCTCCTACAACATGTCCTCCTACAAGATGTCCTCCTACAACCTGTCCTCCTACAATCTGTCCTCCTTCAACCTGTCCTCCTACAACCTGTCCTCCTACAAGCTGTCCTCCTACAACATGTCCTCCTACAAGCTGTCCTCCTACAACCTGTCCTCCTACAACCTGTCCTCCTACAACCTGTCCTCCTACAACCTGTCCTCCTACAACCTGTCCTCCTACAACCTGTCCTCCTACAACCTGTCCTCCTTCAACCTGTCCTCCTACAACCTGTGTCTCCTACAATCTGTCCTCCTACAACCTGTCCTCCAACAACCTGTCCTCCTACAACCTGTCCTCCTACAACCTGTCCTCCCACAACCTGTCCTCCTACAACCTGTCCTCCTACAACCTGTCCTCCTACAACCTGTCCTCCTTCAACCTGTCCTCCTACAACCTGTGTCTCCTACAATCTGTCCTCCTACAACCTGTCCTCCTACAACCTGTCCTCCTACAACCTGTCCTCCTACAACCTGTCCTCCCACAACCTGTCCTCCTACAACCTGTCCTCCTACAAGCTGTCCTCCTACAACATGTCCTCCTACAAGCTGTCCTCCTACAAGATGTCCTCCTACAACCTGTCCTCCTACAATCTGTCCTCTTTCAACCTGTCCTCCTACAACCTGTCCTCCTACAACCTGTCCTCCTACAACCTGTCCTCCCACAACCTGTCCTCCTACAACCTGTCCTCCTACAACATGTCCTCCTACAACCTGTCCTCCTACAACCTGTCCTCCTACAACATGTCCTCCTACAACCTGTCCTCCTACAACATGTCCTCCTACAACATGTCCTCCTACAACCTGTCCTCCTACAACATGTCCTCCTACAACATGTCCTCCTACAACCTGTCCTCCTACAACCTGTCCTCCTACAACCTGTCCTCCTACAACCTGTCCTTCCACAACCTGTCCTCCTACAACCTGTCCTCCTACAACATGTCCTCCTACAACCTGTCCTCCTACAACCTGTCCTCCTACAACATGTCCTCCTACAACCTGTCCTCCTACAACCTGTCCTCCTACAACCTGTCCTCCTACAACATGTCCTCCTACAACGTGTCCTCCTACAACCTGTCCTCCTACAACGTGTCCTCCTACAACCTGTCCTCCTACAACGTGTCCTCCTACAACCTGTCCTCCTACAACGTGTCCTCCTACAACCTGTCCTCCTACAACCTGTCCTCCTACAACGTGTCCTCCTACAACCTGTCCTCCTACAACATGTCCTCCTACAACCTGTCCTCCTACAACCTGTCCTCCTACAACCTGTCCTCCTACAACCTGTCCTCCTACAACCTGTCCTCCTACAACCTGTCCTCCTACAACCTGTCCTCCTACAACCTGTCCTCCTACAACCTGTCCTCCTACAACCTGTCCTCCTACAACCTGTCCTCCTACAACCTGTCCTCCTACAACCTGTCCTCCTACAACATGTCCTCCTACAACCTGTCCTCCTACAACCTGTCCTCCTACAACCTGTCCTCCTACAACATGTCCTCCTACATCCTGTCCTCCTACAACCTGTCCTCCTACAACCTGTCCCCCTACAACCTGTCCTCCTACAACCTGTCCTCCTACAACCTGTCCCCCTACAACCTGTCCTCCTACAACCTGTCCTCCTACAACCTGTCCCCCTACAACCTGTCCTCCCACAACCTGTCCTCCTACAACCTGTCCTCCTACAACCTGTCCTCCTACAACCTGTCCTCCTACAACCTGTCCTCCTACAACCTGTCCTCCTACAACCTGTCCTCCCACAACCTGTCCTCCTACAACCTGTCCCCCTACAACCTGTCCTCCTACAACCTGTCCCCCTACAACCTGTCCTCCTACAACCTGTCCTCCTACAACCTGTCCCCCTACAACCTGTCACATAAGGCCAAAAATTGTCGTACAAGAAAATAGAAGCAGCTGGTGAAAGTGACTTACTGTCCCGTTTTCTGTTTTGGGTCCTCTGGCAGGTTAGGAGAGGGCACTTTAAATTGACCGCTTCCTTGACGTTAGGAGAACGGGCTGGCTAATTACCTCCTTATTGAGGCGCAAAAATGAAGACAAGCTCATTAAATAAATGGGCCTCCAGGAGCAGGTTTGAACTAAGCTAAGGAAGGATAACAGCTCTTGCTTGCAGTTTCACCAGGGTAGTCAAGCTTCTCGCTAATTTAGGCGGAGTCGCATCATCATCAACGTCAGGGTCACTACCACCATTTTACGAGGTGTTAACTCGCTCGCTCATTACTGGTGTAGCGAACTCGCTGTGTTTCTGCCCGAAACGCTGCGCGTACTGGTGGCTTTACAAGAATGTAATTACTCTGCTATGTGGCCTCACAATCCCAATGTACCTTCTTGTATATATATAAATAAATAAATAAATAAATAAATAAATAAATAAATAAATCAATCAATAAACTCGTAGGGAGAGTGTTGCGTGGACTTGGCTAAACTCAGGTTAAGGTAGTGTCCAGGTAGAGAAAGGTAGAGAAACATGGACAAAGAGAAAGGCACAGAGAGGCATGGAGATAGAGGTTGATACAACAGATTGTATTGTGGGAGATCAGGTTGATACAACAGCTTGTATTACTGGAGATCAGGTTGATACAACAGGTTGTATTACGGGAGATCAGGTTGATACAACACCTTGTATTACGGGAGATCAGGTTGATACAACACCTTGTATTACGGGAGATCAGGTTGATACAACACCTTGTATTACGGGAGATCAGGTTGATACAAGAGGTTGTATTACGGGAGATCAGGTTGATACAACAGGTTGTATTACGGGAGATCAGGTTGATACAACACCTTGTATTACGGGAGATCAAGTTGATACAACACCTTGTATTACGGGAGATCAGGTTGATACAACACCTTGTATTACGGGAGATCAGGTTGATACAACACCTTGTATTACGGGAGATCAGGTTGATACAACACCTTGTATTACGGGAGATCAGGTTGATACAACACCTTGTATTACGGGAGATCAGGTTGATACAACACCTTGTATTACGGGAGATCAGGGTGATACAACACCTTGTATTACGGGAGATCAGGTTGATACAAGAGGTTGTATTACGGGAGATCAGGTTGATACAACACCTTGTATTACGGGAGATCAGGTTGATACAACACCTTGTATTACGGGAGATCAGGTTTATACAACACCTTGTATTACGGGAGATCAGGTTTATACAACACCTTGTATTACGGGAGATCAGGTTGATACAACACCTTGTATTACGGGAGATCAGGTTGATACAACACCTTGTATTACGGGAGATCAGGTTGATACAACACCTTGTATTACGGGAGATCAGGTTGATACAACACCTTGTATTACGGGAGATCAGGTTGATACAACACCTTGTATTACGGGAGATCAGGTTGATACAACACCTTGTATTACGGGAGATCAGGTTGATACAACACCTTGTATTACGGGAGATCAGGTTAACTGATCACATGAAGGCTCTGACACACAGTTGGCTACAGGCTCATCCTCTTCCATATATGTCTGTTGCCTAATGGTGTTGATGTATAAAAGCTATTCCTACTGATGCATATAACAGGCTCATGAAATAAATAGGACTCCAGGAGCAGGTTTCAAACTTAGCCGAGGAAGGATAACAGCTCCTGCTTGCAGTTTCACTAGGTTCCTTATATGATAGTTCCCTGTGTGAGAGTTTCAAAGTACATTCTCATGAAACAAACGAGTTTCTATGTGCAGGCTTCAGATAAGCGAAGGTAGAATAACAGCTCTTGCTTGCAGTTTCACTAGGCACGTTACTTGACAGCCCTTAGGAACCTTAGTCTTAGTGAAAAAAACAGAAAGAGAAAGAGAGAGAGAGAGAGAGAGAGAGAGAGAGAGAGAGAGAGAGAGAGAGAGAGAGAGAGAGAGAGAGAGAGAGAGAGAGAGAGAGAGAGAGAGAGAGAGACAGACAGACAGACAGACAGACAGACAGACAGACAGACAGACAGACAGACAGACAGACAGACAGACAGACAGACAGACAGACAGACAGACAGACAGAGTGAGAGGGTCAGAGTGAGAGGGTCAGAGTGAGAGTGAGAGTCAGAGTCAGAGTCAGAGTCAGAGTCAGAGTCAGAGTAAGAGTGAGAGTCAGAGTGAGAGTCAGAGTGAGTGAGAGTCAGAGTGAGTGAGAGTCAGAGTCAGAGTCAGAGTCAGAGTCAGAGTCAGAGTCAGAGTCAGAGTCAGAGTCAGAGTCAGAGTCAGAGTCAGAGTGAGTGAGAGTGAGAGTGAGAGTCAGAGTGAGAGTGAGAGTCAGAGTGAGTGAGAGTGAGAGTGAGAGTGAGAGTCAGAGTGAGAGTGACTCTGACTCTCACTCTCACTCTCACTCTCACTCTCACTCACTCTGACTCTGACCCTGACCCTGACTCTGACTCTGACTCTGACTCTGACTCTGACTCTGACTCTGACTCTGACTCTGACTTTCACTCTGACTCTCACTCTGACTCTCACTCTCACTCTGACTCTGACTCTGAGAGTCAGAGTCAGAGTCAGAGTGAGTGAGAGTGAGAGTGAGAGTGAGAGTGAGAGAGATAGAGACAGAGACAGAGACACAGAGAGAGGGACAGAGAACTATAGAGAAAGAGAGGCACAGAGATAGTGAGAGTGAGAGACCTAACTCCTCCTCCCTCACACACGTAATTAGGTGAGGCAAATAGCTCTTCACAAGGGTCAAATTAATTACTGGGGCTTCTGGCTCAGCCTCCTTCATCCTCACCTGCTGTGTAGACGACCACCACTGGACGACCCAGTGCCAACGACCACCACTAGACGACCCAGTGCCAACGACCACCCCCCTAGATGACTCAGTGCCAACGACCACCCCCTAGATGACTCAGTGCCAACGACCACCCTTAATGACTCAGTGCCAACGACCACCCCCTAGATGACTCAGTGCCAACGACCACCCTTAATGACTCAGTGCCAACGACCACCCTAGATGACTCAGTCCCAACGACCACCCCCCTAGATGACTCAGTGCCAACCACCACCCCCTAGATGACTCAGTGCCAACGACCACCCTTTAATTACTCAGTACCAACGACCACCCTTTAATTACTCAGTACCAACGACCACCCTTAATGACTCAGTACCAACGACCACCCTTAATGACTCAGTACCAACGACCACCCTAGATGACTCAGTGCCAACGACCACCCTAGATGACTCAGTACCAACGACCACCCCTTAATGACTCTGTGCGAACGACGGCACTGAATCATCTAGGGGGACTACCAGGGTCCCGGCGGCACCCTGGTAGTCCCGGATAGTCCCGGGTAGTCCCGGCTAGTCCCTGCTAGTCCCGGATAGTTCCTGGTAGTACCGGGTAGTCCTGGGTAGTCCCGGGTAGTCCCGGGTAGTCCCGGGTAATCCCGGGTAGTCACAATAGTGGGTCCACCTGGGTGTCCAACCATAAGTTAACTAGTTTGTCTATCTCTGTATCTTTGTATCTCTCTATCTCTATGTTTCTCTCTCTCTCTCTCACACGCCCTCTCTTCATCACACCACACAGTCTCCCTCACACTCCCTCTCCATCAGCATTCCCTCCCTCCACACTGTTTTTCCTACGCTCTCTCCCCCACACTCTCACCTCTCAAGAGGGGTAGATGAGACATGGAGAGTAAATCTTCTAAAAGTTGTCGAGAAGAATTTCCTGGCGCAACATTACAGAACAAAATAAGGTGAAGGGGTGGTGACCAACCAGCTACGCTAGATCCAGTCTTCACGCAGAATGAGATCGACATTGGAAACATTGACTGTGTAATGCCAATTGGAGCCCGTGACCACTGAGGTATAGTCTTTGAATGCATAGTGACAAGGAAGGCCAAAGAAAGATGTAGCCAGGTGGAGAATGTAAGGCTTACATACTGAAGAGGGAAGTACCAGAAGGTGAGAGAATTCCCGGGGTGGATAGTATGGGGAAGAGAAGTCAGAGGAACATCAACACAGGACAAGAGGGACTACTTAATGAGCAAACCCAGAGAAGCTGAAGGAAGATTATTACCACCACTAAGGGTTAAGGGAAGCAACACGAAGTAAACAATGAAACAAAATAACTGTGTCTGGAAGTAAAAAAAAAAAAGAAGGGCAAGGAAGAAATACAGAGAACACAGAACAGAAGGAAATCACAATGCATACAAAGAGGCCATGAATGAGGAGACAGAAATTAGTAGAGCGGCAGAGGAACAGTACGAGAATGACATCTAAGTCCAGGCTAAAACTGTTTCATAGTCTTATTAGGAGGAAGATGACTGTGACTGGACAGGTTATCGGACTTGACAGAAGTGAGGGAGGACACAAAGAAAATGATAAGAATCTATGTGATGAATTTAACAAAAGCTTTCAGGAAGTATTCAAGCTGGAGCCTGATTTGCCACAAGATTTTAGAGCCCAAACTGAACGGGAAATTCCACGGAAAGCTTCTCTGAGATAGCATTGACACCAGATGTAAAGAAGCAACTACAGGAACTGGATGTGGCAAAAGCCGTGGGACCAGACAAAATATCGCCATGGATACTAAAAGAGGCAGCTGAAGCATTGTGCAGCCCACTTGCCCTAATATTAAATTATACTCTAGAAACGGGAGAACTTTCTGACTGTTGGAAAATAGCTAATGTAGTACCACTCTACAACACAAGGGGAAGACAGACACTATTAAACTATAACTCGCATCACTAACAAGTATCCCCTACAAGTTGTCAGGGAGACTGATACGAGGCAGGTTAGTAGAACATTCAGAACAGGTAAGTTTTGTCTCAAGGTACCAGCACGGATTTAATAAAGAAAAATCCTGGTTTTCAAACTGGTCATCTTGCCATTGAACAAGGGTTCAACAACTGGTTTCAGGATTCAGGTTTCAAGGCCCTAGAGCAGGCAAGCAGGGGGTTGAAGACAGGGGCGAGGATGCAAAAAATCTTGAACTAGGAACTGGAGACGAGGTGAAGAGGGGAGATGAAAGATCGGTGGCCCAACCACCGTGGGTAAGCATTGCAGCTGATGCTGTGGTGTGGTGGTAGAGTGGAGTTCTCATGGGTGCTCGCTGATGTGTCTTGTTGGAGGCTGGGCTTCTGGTCTCGGTGTTCTTTACAGCATTACGTTGGTGTTCTACTGATTACTTGATTTACTCGGGCGCAGATCGTCGGTGTTCTTCTTCCCAGGCCTCCTGGCCTGTTTGTTGGTCTTGCTACGTGTTGATACGGTGAGGCTGTCGTTGGAGGTAGCTCCAGCCGGAAATCTTCTGTTGTGTTGGGCTGCTTCAGTGGAGGAGGTGGTGTTCCCACCGAGACGTCCTCATTTGATGAGTCAGCTGACTCAGAAGTAGATGCAGTGAATCTTGAGGGATGAGTTCTTGCCTGTTGAGGCTTAATGGGAGTTGCAGCTGATTAAGGACGTTGAGAGGGTTCGCACACGAGAGGTGGAACTGTGGCAGTTGTCGATAGCGGAGGCGTCTGGGTGGCTTGTAATGAAGTTGCTGGAGGAGAAGGCTTTGCTGTTGATAGTAGATCCGTGAGCACGGCGGCGTTCACGGTGATGTCAGGGACCAAGACTGTATCTTGAGAACTTGAAGTGGTGTTGGTGAAGACTTCTTCAGGAACTATGAAAGCTGGAAGACCATTTGCTTTGTATAGAATATTTAATATTCTTACGTATTCCTGGGAATATTAAATATTCTATACAAAGCAAATGGTCTTCCAGCTTTCATAGTTCCTGAGGAAGTCTTCACCAACACCACTTCAAGTTCTCAAGATACAGTCTTGGTCCCTGACATCACCGTGAACGCCGCCGTGCTCACGGATCTACTATCAACAGCTGCCAAGCCTGCTCCTCCAGCAACTTCAACACAGAAATCAAACGGGAGAGAGAAGAATGGCCAGTGTGCATATTCCTCGACTGTCAGAAAGCATTTAATACGGTTGAGGCTCGAATGACTCTTACTCACACTAGAGAAGCAGGCTGCTGTATCGGGAAGAGTCCTAATGTGGCTCGAAGAATATCTCAGGAAGGAAGCAAAGGGTTTACAATGAGAGTAAAGACAACAGAGTGGAGAGAGGTTAAGAGTGGAGTACCACAAGGGTCGGTTCTTGGACCCATACTTCACATTAATGATCTCATTTGATGCAAAACTAATGAGAAGAGTTAGGTCAGGGTTAGATTGTGAGGTATATTGAAAATGGTTATGAACATTCTCAAGAAGTGATCTGAAAAAATGGCTGCTAGAGTTTAACTTAGCAAAATGCAAAGTTATGAGGTTTGGAAAGGGAGTGCGAAGGTCAGAACAGTTGTACAGAATGAAGGAAAGACAGATTCTTCAATCAGAAAGGAAAAAGACCTGAAGCGTATTTAAACTGCATGTAGAATTCTCGCCAACATCTGTGTATAGTTCAGAAATTTAGACAAATGGGGTTCTCCAGGCCCTATATACAGTAAAGG